GGTTGTGGAGTTGCGCTGGTGGTGGTGGAGGCGCGGCGGCAGCTGCTGCAGCATGAGTAGAAGCACTCGTAGAAGTGAACGGTGGTGGTGGTGGTGGTAGGAAGGGCTGAATCCACTGCCGCATCCACCACCGCGAGACTCTTGGCCAAAAATGGGTAGCGGCGGCGGCAAAGGAGCGGCACTGCTGTGGGGGATCGAACGCAAATATCTCCAGCGGAAGAGTCGAGGATGTGCCAAACTTTTCGCGATGAACAATGGAACTCCTCGCATAGAGAGTTTACGTCGCATTCCTTATCATGAAGGGCTCCACTAGAACTAAGGATTTCGATGCTGTTCTTTTACCAACCCTCCTTGGTTGGGTATTCGTTTGGAATAGAGCGCTGCGGTCTCCAGTCCTCCTCCTCCCCCTGCATCCCTCCCCCCTCGTGTCTCCTCTTGCTTTGCGCGGGCCTCGCCGTTCCCGGGGGGGGCGGGGCTGCGATCCCGTCGCCACTTTCGGGGCCTGCTGGCGGGCCCGGCGGACTGAGGCGCCGCGGGGGTCCGAGCGGGGCCTCGCCGCCCCTGGGGGGGCTGCGAACTGCGACGCCGTCGCCGCTTTCGAGGGCCGCGCGGGCCCTGCGGACTGAGGCGCCGCGGGGATCTGAGCGGGGCCTCGCCGTCCCCGGGGGGCTGCGATCTGCGACGCTGTCGCCGCTTTCGAAGGCCGCTTGCGGGCGCTGCGGACTGGGGCGCCGTGGGGATCTGAGCGGGGCCTCGCCGTCCATGGGGGGCTCCGATCTGCGACGCTGTCGCTGCTTTCGAGGGCTGCTGGCGGGTCCTACGGACTGAGGTGCCGCGGGGGTCTGGGCGGGGCCTCGCCGCCCCTGGGCGGGGGGCTGCGATCTGCGACGCTGTCGCCACTTTCGAAGGCCGCTGGCGGGACCTGCGGACTGAGGCGCCGCGGGGATCTGGACGGGGCCGTCGCTGGGGGGCTGCGATCTGCGACGCCGTCGCCGCTTTCGGGGGCAGCTGGCGGGCCCTGCGGACTGAGGCGCCGCGGGGACCTGAGCGAGACCTCGCCGTCGCTGGGAGGGCCCCGATCTGCGGCGCCGTCGCCGCTATCGAGGGCTGCCAGCGGGTCTTGCGGGCCGAGGCACCGCGGGGGCCTGAGCGAGACCTCGCGATGATCTGGACACTGTCGCCATTTTCGAAGGCCGCCGGCGGGCCCTGCGGACTGCGGCACCGCGGGGGCCCGAGCGAAACCTCGCCGCCCTTGGGGGGCTGCGATCTGCGACGCTGTCGCTACTTTCGAAGGCGGCTGCCGGCGGGCCCAGCGGAGCGAGGCACCGCGGGGGCCTGAGCGAGACCTCGCCGCCCCTGGGGGCGCTAGCAACCGCTGCGACGCCCGTGTATCTTGATCGGGGGCCTGCGAGCCGCCCGGTCGCTGCTCGCAAAACCACGTGCGCCCATGTGACGCCGTCGCCCCCGCTGTAATAATCCTGATGCACTTATGCCTAGCGTTGCGCAAGGGTTGGGTACGTCGCCAAGGCAAGTGTAAAAATATTCCAGTGAAAGGAATTCAATGCGATTTCCAATGTAAAAAGACTTGAACACGTCTCCTTCTGCACGTGCAAGATTTGGGTATTATCCCTTTGGTGAGAAATTTGAACCGGATTCCGTTTGCCGAAGATTTCAATATACTTCCTTTTGCAAAGAATTTCAACGGGACACCTTGCGCAAAGCATATCAATATAATTCCTTGTGTGAAGGATTTCCAAGCAAATCATTTTAAAGAGTTTTCATAGGACAATACGTCTCCGCCTGCAAAACATATCAATCGCATTCCGTGAATAGCGGATTTCAATCAGAGCTCTTTTGTAGAGGATTTCAATTGAATTCCTTGTGTGCAGATTTCGGTCGGATTTCTTGTGTAGTGGACTTCGATCCACCAATCCGGCGCGCGAGTTTAAGAGGGCGGGGCTGTGGGTTCTGGTGGCGTGGGGGAGGGGGGGGGGCGGTTCCGGTGGCGTGGTTCTGGCGGCGGGGGGGGGGGGTCGGTGGCGTGGGTTTGCTTTTCAAAAACATTTGCATTTCCTTGCAGACCGCCTCGGGACGCTTGCTTTGCCGGGGAACGGGGGGGGGGGCGGGCGGCGTGGATTCTGGTGGCGTGGAAGGGGGGGGGGAGTTCAGGTGGCGTGGGTTCTGGTGGCGTAGGGGGGGAGATTGGTTTTGGTGAGTGCGTGGGTTCCGGTGGCGTGGGTTCTGGTGAGTGCGTGAGTATCGTGGTGGTGGGTGTCCATGTGTGTGTCGTGTGTGTGTGTGCGCGTGTGTCCATGTGGGCGCGCGTGCGAGCGTGCGCGCGCGCGCGGCGCTCGCGCGGGAGTGCTGGGCGCGGCGTGTTCGCGCGAGAGACAAATGAACAATCGGGGGGGTGAGCAGAAACGATAATGGTAATGTTGTGGAAAATGATCGCGGCGGCGCGCGCGCGAGCGCGGAATGACGCGGCCAGGAACTGGCCCAAGGCGGCGACAAAATAGTGTGCACGTGTGGCGCGTGGTGTGTGTGTGTGTGTGTGTGCGTGTGTGCATTTGAACGTGCGCCCGCGATGTCTGCGTGTGGGGGGGTGGCCCCGAGCGACCCAGATCGGCGGCGCTGGCCGAAGGCCACTGGAATATAATTCCTCGTGTAGGTAATTTCAGCAGGATTCCTTGTTGCAGAAGATTTCAATTCATACGTTTCCTTGTGTGGTGGGCCTTCTCAGAAATATACCAAAACTCCTCTTCCCACATTTAATAACATGCTCTTCGTTTCAAACAATATTCAAATCGAAAACCAAATTTCGCCTGTGACCCTTTCCGGCGTTTTGCATCCAATGATTTCGGCGGGTGTGCACTTTCAGAGGGTATGAAGCGAAACTGCGCTGATTCTCTTAGGGCGTGTATATATATATATATACATATATACATATATATATATATATATGCATAATATGTTTTTTGGTATACAGACAAGCTTCGTTTGATTATCTCTGCAATGCGCGCCAGCCGAAATCATTGGATAAAACCCTAAGGGGGTCGCAAGCGAAACCTGGTCTTTGGATATACAAAACTCTGACTAAACCCAAATGTAAGAAAGATGAGAACACAATTTTGTTTGTTGAATCCTGACGAGGCCGATTCCGTTCGCGGAGGATTTTCAATAAAACACATTTGTTGCGGATTTGAATAATATTCTTTTTGTCGAGGGTTTCAAATGGAGCTCTTGGTGTAAAAGGATTTCAAGATGATTCCTATTGTCGAAAATTTCCATCGGAATCTTTTTGTAGGAGTTCAACACCCCCCGTTTTGTACAAGAATTCATTAGGATCCCTTTTTTCGAGAATTTCAATATGATTCCTTTTGTCGACAATGTTCGACCGAATTCGCCTGGCAGAGGATTTCAATCGGACTCATGTTGTCGAGGATTTCAACTGGATTCCTCATGTCAGCGATTCATTTACGCTTTGGTCCTTTTGTGGCAGATTTGCAAATGGATTCCTGTTGTGGCGGATTTACACATTGATTCCTTGTTTGGTGGATTTACAGATTGATTCCTTCTGCGGCGGGTTTGCACTTGCATTTTTTGTCGCGGGTTTACACATTGATTTCTTGTGTGGCCGATTTACATCGTGTGGAATATTTGCTACAGCGGGTACGCAACAAAAACCCTTCGACGGCGAAACCTTTGTACGGCGTTGCGTTTAAGACGGCGCCGACGACCAGAAGGAACCCCACCCACACGTTGAGTTTCCCCCCCCGAAAGGATTCCCAGAACACCCCGTTCTCGGGGCCGGACACCTTCAACCTCCGAGCCGCTGGCCCCTGGAAACCAGCGCAGGAGGAGGCGAAGAGCGGAGACGATGATGATGATGCTGATGATGATGATGGTGATGATGATGATGATGCTGATGATGATGAGGACGAGGATGAGATAATGGTGACGGGCGGCGCAAGCGACAAGGCCCAAAGGCCGAGAGGCGGGCCTACGGGCACAAGGGGCATTCAAAATCCGAATGCCCGTTTCTAATAAACCTGACGAGATCAGGGCGACCGTGGTAATTCCCACCAGTTGGGGAGCAAACCGGAAGGAGCAGGGAACCCGGCCAGGGTTTCTCCTAGGAACACACGACCGTTGGCGGGGCCCCCCAGCGGACCGCCCCGATTGAGTCCTGGGTTCCTCCCGGGCCGCCCATGGACGCGAGCAGGCACAAGGAGACGGAGTGCCCGAGGGTACTCCGCGCCAACTGGGGAACTAACCAGTGCGGAACCGGGAACCTGGCGACCCCCCCAAGCGGGCAGCCCCGATTGCGCCTTGAGCTCGCGTTGGGCCGCCCATGGACGCGACAAACACAACGAAGCGGGGTGCCCCCGTGTACTCCGGAGTACTCCGCGCCAGCTGGGGGACCAGCTGGATGGGACAAGGAGCCTGGCTATGGTTTCTCCTAGAACGCACGAGCCCTTAGCAGACCCCCCATACCGACCGACCGACCGACCGACAAACAGACAGACAGACATCACTGGCCACAAAGGCACGAACTCAAGTTAATTACCCCCGATCCGCCACTCCCACTCGGGAGTGCCGCAGCCGTGAGCAAGGAATGCCACGATGCCAAGAGGGACTTGATCACTGTATGCTCCTCGAATTTCCCTGCCACCGTAATCGAAGATTCAGCGGCGACGATTAAAAAAAAAAAAAAAAAAAACAGTCTTGTCCCCCTGCCAGGGCCTCTCCGGACAGGGGGGGGGGATAGCTTGTAACAGAGGCGGGCTGGCGGCGCAACGAGGAGAAGGGAAGAGGGAGGAGGAGAAGGGAGGAGGGGGGACGAGGCGGAAAGAAAGAGGAGGAGGAGGCGGCGGAGGAAGAGGAGGAGGAGGAGGAGGAGGAGGACGGGGGAGGGGAGGAGGGGGGAGGAGGAGGAGGAGGAGGAGGAGGAGGAGGAGGAGGAGGAGGAGGAGGAGGAGGAGGAGAAGGAGTCTGTCTGACCGTCCGTCTGTCTTCCTCATTCGAACTCAACGTCGCATCCTGCTGCATCTGCGTGCGATCTGGGCCAGTGCTGTTGCGTCTGATCTCTCCACTTTGGGGGGCCCACGTCTTCGGGCAGGTGTCCGAGGACGGTGGAACGGTGGCCCGCGAAGCGCGGGAACACCCCACGCGGGGCGGGCCTTCTAAGCCTGAGTTGAGACGAGTGGGGCAGATGCCAGCAGCACCAGCGCGGGGGAACTCAGAGGCCCCTCCCCGCAATGGAACACGCTCACACCCCACCCCATCCCCAACCTCGCACATCCTACTTCTCGATCTTAATTTGCCTCACTAGCTTGCCGCGTGGGGCCTTACCAGGCTTACTGTTGAAGCCCAGGGCCCGAAACAACTGATACACAACATGCTCTGCCTGTGCCACCTCCCCTACACCTTTTCAGCTCCAACTCAAGGGGGGACCTGACGGCGCGGCCCGCCGCGCGAGCCTTCTCCTCGGGGTCTGCGTCCTTGTCTTTGATGACCTTCCAGAGGCTGTCCTGCTCCTCGAGAAGGTTGGGTCCCTCCGCCCTCGGGCCAGGCAACACAATAGAGCCGAGAACCTTGACCGATGGACTCGTTCTGAGTCCTGGACGCGTTGCACTCCTTGATCCATGTGCTTGCCGTGGGCATGTCGCCCTTCTGCATCATCAGTAGCAGTCTGTTGGGCACATGTGTCAGGTACTTCGCGCTGTCCTGCTGCGTGCCCTTCTTCTCGAGCCGGCCGCTGAAAACGTTCAGAAGCGCGGCACAAGTCTGCAACTCTGGAGGGCCCAGGCCGTGCGGATTGGCTTTGCCCTCGACCTTCTTCTGGCACTCCTGGTTCGCAGTCTGCAGCACCGTCACGACTTCCGCGTCGCTGGGCCCGTGCACTGTGAGGCCTGCTCCGAACTCCAAGGTCCTGACCCTCGATTCTAGCTGGCGCAGCAGCCTGGCGTTGGCGTGGGACGCGTCTCCCTTGCCCTCTCCCTTTGCGGCCTTGGTCTTGGTGCCGACTGGAGTAACTCCGCCCGCTCTCTTCATCGCGCTGGGGAGCAGCCAATCCGCCATCTCCTCCTCTGCTGTGAAAGATGGCGACAGTCTCCGTCAGGCCAGGCACCTCAAAATCAAGGTCGTGTGACTACAGGTGCTGCTGCAGATGCTCAGCCAGGAATTTCCTACGGAGGTCGTCGTTGTCCAAGGCGTGATATTCGCAAGCGGGGCACTCGAAACTCTTGGGTAGAATAACTGTTCCGTCTGTTCGGCCTCGATCGCGTTGACATGTGCCCGTGATGAGACCTCGGTGCATATGTCGCTTCGCGTAATCGATCGACGAGAAATTACAACCACATAATACACAGGAGGAGGCGGAGGAGAATAATGAGAATGAGGGGGAGGAGGAGAAGGACGAGGGGGACAAGGAAACGGTTGGAGGAGGAGGAGGAGAAGGAGGAGGAGGAGGAGGAGCTGTATGTGCCGAAGTTCCGCTGGTGCCCCTCGCACTTGGATTTTCTTGAGGTGGTTGAAGGGTTCGGCCCACCTGGCCTTGACCTGATGTGGGTTCTGGGTAACAGCTGGGCTGATTACTTCGCGAAGCGTGGGGCTGCAGAGATAGTAATAGCCAAAGGTTACGTGGAGTATGTGCAGCATGTGTTCGATGAAGGAAGGATGATGGCACGATATCTCAGTTGGGGCTTGGCTCGTCTCTTCCAGCAGCAGCTCTGGGAGTACGAAAAGAAACCAACTTATAAGGAGAAGTACGAGCACTTGGCGATGCTAGAGCACGTCTTCTACTATCATCCGACACAACTGATATGGAAATGTCGCAATTGTGGGGTCACGGCTAAGACGCAAACACATCTGGATAACTTACGGTGGAGTGTTCGAGGCCATTGTGCACCTACGGCAATACAGCGGGCACGAACGGACGCATTCTTCAGTACCGATGGTGGGAAGCAGTATGCCATTTATCGAACTGAAGCGGTTCAGTCGGCGTTGGAAGCGGCAAGTGTAGTGCTGGGGGATCCGCAGGTGGAGATCGAACAGGCATTTGCCGACCAAGCGGTGGGCGATCCTCGTAAAGCTATCGACGCATTGTTTAAGCAGCTTGGTCATGAGCCTGCATGGTCTGGCAATGCGGTGATTTGTACTAAATGTGCGTGTCATTCGACAAAGTTCGACGGCAAACTTGTGAACCTCAAACGCAGGTGCGGAGGTGTTGCCAACACGCAAGTGGGGCAGAAGACGCAGGTCAAGAGCATCCGTCGTTTTTTCACCGCCCATGGCGAAGGGGTTTCCTTGTCGTGACTATCCTCGTTGGCCCGACCTTCGGGGAGCTACCAGGGTTGCTGGTGGAGCTTCGGTTCTGGCGATTGCCTGGTGGCTGTGGTTTCTTTCATATGGAGATTATGTCCTGTTAGTGTGGAGTCTCTTCGAATCGCGATGTTCTACCTTGGTGGACATCAGTGTCTCTATCAGTGCATTGGCATGGGGCGTTGGTGCTGGCCTCTTTCTGGTGGATTGGTTTTCATAATACGGGAGAGTACTGCAGTTGAGCTGGGTGTCTCTTCTATTCATATTGGTCTGCCTCGTATGCGGCTTGAGTGCGAGTCTCTCAGAGGTGGATATCCGTGCTTTCAGAGAGGGCTTCGCCGTCATCTGAGCTTCATAGGCCAAGTTGCGCGTGGTCGGGACGCGTTTGGCGTGTCGGACTGCCGTAGGGCAGTCGTGGCGGACTGAACTGTTGAGAGGTGCGCCCGTTCCTCGGGCGCGCCTCCAGGGAGGATCAAGGATCAAGGAGGAGGAGGAGGAAGAGGAGGAGGAGGGAGAAGGAGGAGGAGGAGGAGGAGGAGGAGGAGGAGGAGGAGGAGAAACGGGGGGCAGGAGGGCAGGAGCCGAGGAGGGCAACGAGGGGGACACCACTGTGGCCGTGCCCCCTCTGCGGTGCCCGGAGGCCTCCGCCCGCCTCCACGGCAGCCGCCTCGCGCAGGAGGCATGCCGCCGCCGGCGCGGCGCCCGCGGCACGGCCGCGGCCAGTGTGGCGACCACGACCGCCGCGGCCACGCGGCACGCCCAGCGGGGCCCCTCCGAGAGGAAGACGTCGTACCCCGCCTCGGTCGGCGGCGAGCTCGGGAGGGGAAGTGAGGGCTCGAGGGGGTTCGGGCCCTCGAGGCTCGAGGTGGGCGCAGAGTGTTCCAGCTTCGGGGTGCTCTCCAGCAGCTGCGCCTCGCCGAGGGCATTCCAGGGGTGCCCGGATTGTCCCGGACCGCCGCCAGAGACCCGAGTTATGACCCGACAGCCACCAGGCCTCCGAGAGGGGGCAGGCCTTCTCAGGAGGCGGCGGGGCTTCTCTGAAGCCCTCTGGCCTTCTCAGAAGCCGTGCCCGTTTTCGGCAGGCGCGAGGGCCTCCGAGAAGTCGCCGCCGCCTTCTGAGGAGGCCTGCTCCCCCCCCCCCCCCCCTGGGCCTGCCGCCGACTCAGAGCCAGACCTCCTCGGGTCATGAAGAAAACCACGACGGAGGGCTTGTTGCTATCTGCGAGCTCCAGGGGCCCTCGCAGTTCGAGCCCCAAGGGTCCTCGCTGGGCCGCGGGGTCGTGAAGGAACGACTCGGGATGCAAGACCGGTCCCTGGGATGGGGTCGAGGTCCACGTCGTCAAAACATCACGACGTCGGGTCTGGCGAGGTCGCCAGCCGAGAGCCCAGGGGACACAGGAGGGCCGGGTCCCCCGAACCTCCGCGCTCCTCGCACCTCCGCGGGGTGCGTGGCGCGCGGTTCGCTTTTGGGCGATCTCGGCAGTGCTCCTCCCGCGCTCCCCCTCCTTCATCCTTCTTTCCCCCTGAGCCTTTGGTTGGGCCCTGGGGTATGATGCCCTAAGATGTGGGATTAACTATCTTGTGTGTGGGGGGGTCCTCTCTTGTGGGATTGGGTCTATATGGTGTGAATCATATGGTGTGGTCACATAATGTGGGGCCCTATCGCGGCGACCCTGTGGTGTGGGACCCTGTCGTTTCGAACCATATGGTGTATGGTGTGGGATCCTGAAAATGAGGAATTCTGTGCATCGCGGAAGATCTATGGTATGGGATCTGGCCGTGGAGGGCCCTCTCGTTCAGGACCCTATCGTGTACAGCCCTTCTGTGCAAGGTCCTGCTGTATGGGACCCTACGGCGTGGGACTTACCGTGTGGGACTCCATGGTGTGGGGCCCTATGGTGTGAGACATTGTGATGTGAGACCTTATCGTCTGGGACTCTCGTGTTGTGCGCAGGCCCGCATCATCTGATTACAGATCAGGAAGGAAATCATTTGGGGACCATGCCGCTGAACATCGATCACCTCCTAACATGTTGATGATCAAGGCCAATTCAATCGCATCGTCACAATCAGAGGGGAATATCCTGTAGCAACCGAGTCGACCAGCACTTAGACAACTTCGAAATTCCTGGCGATCCAAGCCGCTCCCATCATATAGCAAGTCCTGCTTGGGCAATGAGAACAACACCACATCACGGCATGTGAGGGTGGGCAGGGGGACGACATCGAATGCAAACAATCAATGCAGAACTAAGGGCGGAACGCACCGTGGAGAAAGCCGCTCGACGGGCGGAAACTTCGAAGCGAGCGCGCCTGCACTCAAAACCTTCTCGTGGCACACCGAAGCCATGGGCAGCAGATTCTCACATTGCACGCTATGTGCGAGCAAGTGGCTTTGGGCCCGAAACTAAGCACGGAAGGAAGGAGTGGAGGGAGGGGGAGGGGGAGGGGGAGAGGGAGAGGGAGGAGGAGGAGGAGGATGAGGAGGAGGAGCAGGGGAGGAGGAGGAGAAGGAGGATAAGAAGGAGAAGGAGGGGGAGAGGAGAGGAAGGAGGAGAGGAAGGAGGAGGAGGAGGATGGAGAGGGGGGTGGACGACGCCATCATGAGTCGCCTGGACTTCGAACGTGCATCGCCCACTGGAGGAAGAGGCGCCGCGGCGCCCATCAATCTGCCACCGTGTTCGTGCCGCGGCGCCCCCGTCCTCCAGAGGACGTTGCACGTTTGAAGTCCAGGGAACTCACCGTGGCTTCGTCCACACCCCTTTCTAGACTCCTCCTCCTCCCCCCGCTCCTCTCTTCCTCCACCTCCTCCTCCTCCTCCTCCTCGCCCATCTCCTCCCTCTCTCCTCCTCCTCTCCTCCTCCTCCTCCTCCTCTCCTCCTCCTCCTCCTCCTCCTCCTCCCCCTCCTCCTCCTCCTCCTCCTCCTTCCCTCCTCCCCCTCCTCTGGCCTTCCCCTCCCCCAAGTCGACCCCGGGCGTCCGTGGATCTGATTCATTATGTGGAAGAGCGACACGCGTGGCCTTACCAACTGCTGCAGGCCGTCATCGTGCTGGCGCCGAAGAACTCAGGAGATATATGGCAATTGCCCGCATCGCCTGGCTCATCCGATGCTGGCAACCGCTGACGAGGCCGAGGGTGGAGAAGTGTGTCGATGGGACTGCTTAGCACCGGGACTCCGCCTTGAAAGGGTCGTCGTGCCTAAACGAGGCGCCCGCGAGAGCGCTGCAGGACGAGGCTGCCGATGCGCTAGCGATGACTGGCGCCGTGAGTCTTGCCGACATCGACATGTTCTACGACTCGCTCGGTAGCGACCCAGTGGCTTGGACTTGCCCATTCGAGTCATCGCGCTGGATCTGCGGGCACACTGTGTGCCCAAGATGTTCCGCCAGCTAGTGTCGTACGGCCTTAATGTGCCACGCGGACATTTCGCTGCTAGCAGGTTCCAGGCGCGCCAACAGTCTGGCGAGGGCGGTGGCTTGCCAGGTGCTGGAGTCAGTCACCAAGGCTGTGCCCAGGGCTATGTCCAGGGCTTGATTCGACGACGTATGTACCTCGATCTACGGCAGCCCTCAGAGAGTAAAGGAACCCACCAACTTCTTGTCTACGTATGAGCTAGCTAGTGGGCTGACTAAAGAACAGTTGAAACTTGCAAGCAAGAGCGTCGTGTCCGGCACGGCTTGGAATCTAACAGTGGAGATAACTAACATATTAGCTCAAGCTGGTATCAGATGCAACGGAAGCCGGAGATTTGGTAATCGACAGAGCACCCAAAGGCGTTACAGTCAGCCCTGGCACAGAAGAGCGTCCGTCAAACACATGAGACCCTCCGCCAGTCCAGCCTGAAGACCATTCGAGGGTGCCTCCCCCCAGGATGCACAAGAACATCCAACAGCCACGAAGAGCATGAAGGCATCCTCCCCGAACCGACCTCGATCTTATACCTCGGACCCGACCGTACCAAACGCATCACGCATGCGACCAGGCGGAAGACGGCAGCGACACGATTGCTCAACCTTCGGAAGAAGTTGAAGGCGACTACGACGAAAAAGTATTCACATTTTGAATCAATGCGCGATGGCTGCGCTACTGTACGTCACGAGACGACACGGAGAACCACCCACGGCCATCGCACAGGCAAGGAGGAAATACACAGCAGCGCTTGCCAGAGCCAGACCAGGACAAAGTATCACTTCGCTTCCTTGCACTGGAAGGGGTCCAACACTTGCGACCCCTGGCACAAACCTGATCATAGTTTGATGTAGCCGCGCGTAGACGGGATATCAGACAAATGATTGACAGAGATTGGGGACACACATGCCAAACTTATGATTGCGCCGACGCAACACATATGGAGACAAAGAATGGGAGTTATGGGCCCACCATCCGTACCATGTGGGGGGCAAGCCGGGACCCGAGAGCGCCAACCAAGTGGACCGATCCCCTCGGCGATGACTGGGAGATGGCGGAAGATGCTGCTGAAGGGCCCAGCTACTTTCATCCAGGCCATGATCGATGACATTAAGTTGCAGCTGTGGAGCAGAGCGGCAAGCCACTACAGTGGGAAGTGCATGGAGGACGAGATGCGACGCCAACGACCTCACCAAGCACCTGGCAAAGGCTCCGCGACGAGGGGGCTCGGACAGCACCAGGTACCGCAGGCGTGCAGGAGTTTTTTTCCCAGCAGTTTCATTTCTCACGTGGTGAGGTTGGGGCGGGTCTGGGGCCGCCGCCACCTCAGAGTCCAGGTAGCTCTCGGGGGCCTGGTTCTCCGAGATGTCCTTGTTCTTTCCTCTGCTTTCGGCCTCGTCCGCTTCTCCTCCTCTTGTTTCCTTGATCAGTTTTCGTAGCTTTCTTTCTTTAGCTTCTTTGAGCAGGCGGAAGAGCGGGGCCATCTTTTCTCTTTCAGCTTTTCCTTCTTGGTCATGTTCCTGTTCTTTCAGCTCTTGTGGGTCCTCTTCTCGTGGCTTGGCTCCTCTTCTCGCTGTCCTTCTTTCCCCCATGTCACGGGGTAACCTCATTTCTCCTACGTCGAAGGGCTCACTTCTTGCTTCTGCGCTTTCGGCATCCCCTGCGTCAAGGGGCTCTGTCTTTTTCGAAGGGGTTTGTGGCCTGCATCCTTCTCGTCGTGCTTCTCGGCCTTGCCGCGCTCTCGTCCGCCCTTTTCGTCGTGCTCCCAATTCTTGCCGCTTTCTTTCCTGCTTCATTGTTCATTGCTCTCTTCCCGCCTTCCTCCGTAACTTCTACTCGTCTTTCCTGGTTCAACGTTCGTAGCTTTCTTTCTTCAGCTTCTTTCAGCATGCGGTACAGCGGAGCCCTCTTTTCCCTCTCAGCTTTTCCGTCGTGTACAGGTTCCTGTTCTTTCAGCTCTTGTGGGTCTTCTTCTCGTGGCGTTGCTCCTCTTCTCGTTGCTTTTCTCTCCCCCATGTCACGGGGTAACTTCGATTCTCTTTCGTCGTGGGGCTCACCTCTTGCTTCTGAGCTTTCAGTTTCCCCTGCGCCGGGGGGCTCATTCACATTCGTGGGGTTCGTGGCCTGCATCCTTCTCGTCGTGCTGTTCGCACTTGCCGTGCCCTCATCCGCCCGTTTCGCCGTACTCCCAGTTCTTGCCGCTTTCGTTCCTGCATCCCTGTTCAATCCTCTCTGTTCGCCTTCCTCCGCGTCTTCTCCTCGTCTTTCCTGGTTCCATTTCCGTAGCGTTCTTTCTTCAGCTTCTTTCAGCATGCGGGATCGCGGAACCATCTTCTCCCTCTCAGCTCTTCCGTCGTGTACAGGTTCCTGTTCGTTCAGCTCTTGTGGGTCTTCTTCTTCTTCTCGTGGTTTTGCTCCTCTTATCATTGCTCTTCTTTCCCCCATGTCACGGGGTAACTTCATTTCTCTTTCTTCGGGGGGCGCACCTCTTGCTTCTGAGCTGCCGGCTTCCCCTGCGTCAAGGGGCTCAGTCGCATTCGTGGGGTTCGTGGCCTGCGTCCTTCTCGTCGTACTGCTCGAACTTGCCGTGCCTTCGTCCGCCCTTTTTCGCCGTACCCCCAGTCCTTGCCGCTTTCTTTGCCTTCCTCTCGGGCTTTTCCTTTACGCCCAGTGTTTTCGGCTTTCCCATTCCTCTGGTCCCCCATGTCACGGGGGTGGTCGTCCACATACTGTATCTTGGCCGCTTTCCTTTTTTTTCCTCTCCGTCGCTATATTATTATTATGTGTTTTCCTGCCTTTGTTTTTTTTAGCATTCTTTATTTGGCTTCTTTCAGCATCTGGAATAGCGGGGCCATCCTTTCTCTGTGTGCTTGATATTCAGGGTCGATGTCTTTGTCTTATTCCAGCAATTCTTCCGTTGGGTTATCTCCTCTTCTCGTTGCTTGTCTTCCCTTGGCTTCCTTTGCAGCTCTCTCCTCTCCTCCGTCTAGGGGCCTTCGTTTTATATTCTCAATCCCGCCTTGTCCATGAGATGTTTTCTTTGCTTCCGTCCTTTTCGCCGAACTCCCTGTTCTTGCCGCTTTCTTCCCAGCTTCTGGTTCGTCTTTGCGTTTGCCGCTTTTGCCGATTCCGTAGCTGGGGTCCCCTGTGCCGAGGGGCTTAGTTTCATCCGTGTACGTCGTAGATTGCTTCCTTTTTGCCAAACTCTCCTTGCTTGTCATGTCTTTTTCTGCTTTCACATGTGCTCTTGTACTTTCACCTTTTCCGTCCGCGCCAGATGCAAGATCTTTCACTGGACCCCCGTGATCACCTGGCGACAGATTGCCTAGTAGCCGCAATGGCACACTAGGTCTTTGCGCTCCCACGCCTTCCAGCGTACGTGGCGACGTCGTGCCTAGTAGCCGCAATGGCACACTAGGGCTTTGCGCTCTAACGCCCGATTCCAGACCGCACTGCATGACGTCTGCAAGGAGGAGGAGCAGGAGCAGGAGGAGGAGGAGGAGGATGCCTGGAGCTGGGTCTCACTCGACTCGAGCCAGCACGTCCCGTCCGTCCGGGGAGGAGTGCACGCGCCACTCGACGGCCACTCGGTGCTGAGGCCCGAAGAGGGCACGATCACGCTGAGATGAGGGGGCCGAGTGGTCATATGGCTTGTTTTTTTGCACCATTTCGAGCACACCATGCCCCTGGACCCCTTTCAGAGCAGGGAGCAACAGAACACGGGTGGCACTACATGGTCATATGTCGGGTCGGGCGAAAGGTGGGGATAGCAGCGGGGTGGGTTGAGAATCAGCTCACGTAGCTGATTTTCCCGGCGCCTCCTGGCGCCAGAGGCGGCCATGTATCGAGGAATGGGCTCCTCGGTGGGGCCGAAACCAGCTGCATGCAGCAGATTTCGTACCCCCCCTTTCCCAATCCCCCCCTTTCGCCCGACCCGAATATGGCTTGGCGAGAGGCTGAGGCGATCATTCCATTCAGCACTTGGTGTGATAGCGATGCTGCTGACGAACTTGCACCCAAGGGAACGTAATCGCATCAGATATCACCTGTGCGAATTTCTTGTCATGATGGGTTGTCGCCACTTCCGCCTTAGTTAGGAACCGACTACTTCGTGCCACGTTAAGTGCCTTTGAGTTTGAGAATTCGGAGAATTCGGAGCCTTCAACGAGACAAGTGAGTAGGGTGAAGAAACGATCTCGCCCTGATGGTCTCGCGAGGGCCCAAGCGGGCTCCAGTCAGACACCTCGTTTGCACAAGACTGGATGGAGCTGTTCACATTGCCGTAGTTCGGTTAGTCAGCTTGTGTGCAGACGAGTTTCAAATGGCTGGCTTTCGAACATGTGCCGTGGGCTGCCTCCCCACCCAGCCTCACCCAGCCCAGTTCGCTTGCAGGACGAGGCGCGGACAACCATCTCACGAGCTTGTCTTTTTCATGAGCTCTACTGGGCCTGTAGTTTGTGCGGGCGCAGGACTTTGGAGCGCAGAGGGCACTTCAAAGCCCCGTCGGAAGAGTGCACATGCCGCCACGGAGAGCCCCCACCAAGACGGGGTCGCGGGTGCTCTCCACTAGTTTTGGCTGAGAGGCCACTCGAGCAAAGCCCTCCGGAGCCCTCCTTTTAGCCCCGACCGCGTCGCCTTGGGAAAGTCTCCTCCCCCATATATCATTTCTCAGACAAGCCGTGGGGCCGCCTCTTCCTCCTCCTCCTGTCCTTCTCGTCCTCCTCCTCTTCCTCGGCCTCCTCCTCCTCCGCCTCCTCCGCCTCTTCCTAGAACAGCACTGCCATTCGAGTAGGAGATTGGAGACAGAGTTGATGTACCCCAGATTGAAGCTTTCGTACTCTTTAACAATGTACATGTAATGTTTGTGAGTCTACGAAAATTATACGTATGTGTGTAGATCCGACGAAAAAACTAGTAGTCAACTATGTAGTCGATCTCCTACTCGAGTCATTGGTCCCACTCCTCCATATCCTCCTCCTCGATCCTCCTCGATCCTCCTCCTCCTCCTCCTCCTCCTCCTCCTCCTCTCCTCCTCGAGAACCTCCTCCTCCTCCTCCTTTTCCTCTTCCTCCTCCTCCTTCTCCTCTCCCAATATCTTGGAAACTCGACTGAGCTCGCAACGCTTTTCCTGCCGCTCTGATCTGCTGTTCCGTCCCCCTGTCTGCCTTGGCGCGCCGCCCTGCAGGTTCGCGACTCCTCCTCTCTGGCTCCTCCTCCCTTGCGCCAGCGGCGACCGCTTGAGCTGCCCCCGCAAAAGGGCGACGAGATCCAGACCCACTGCTCCCTGGCCAGGCCCATCCTGAACTCAGCAGCGGTGTGTACGCCATGCCCTCCTGGCTCCCCAGACCCCGACGTCATTTTTGTTTCATGACGTCGACCTCCAGAGGTCTCGACCCATTCCCCGGGACTGACTTTTCATGCCGAGACATTTTTCGACGGTCCCGAAGCCCCGTATGGGCCCCCAGAGGCTAAAAGCAGCGAAAAACCATCCGTCGTGATTTTTTCATGATTCGAGGGCGTATACACAGCTCCTGGGTTCAGGGTGGGCCTGGCCAGTGAGCAACGGGCATGTACGGTCGGGCCTGGGACAGAAGATCCGTCAAGAACATGAGACCCTCCGCCAGCCCAAACACCCCAAACTATACGATCACTCGAGGCTGCCCTCCCCCAGGAAGCACAATAACATCCAACAGGCACGAAGAACATCGGGGCACCCTCCCCGAGCCGACCTCGATCTTCGCCGCCCGACGCAAACTCTGGGGCGAGACGGGCACCGCGTGTGCGCGCCGGCCCCAGAGCTGCGGGGCTGGGACGGAAGACCGCCGTGGCAGGCCTGGAAGGCCATGCTCGGCGGCGAGCGCAGGGCTGAGCCCCCCCCCCCCGGCCACGAGGCACACCCGTGGGGCGCACCAGCGCACAGAGCGCGTGCCGGCGGCCGACTGCGACAGGCAGGGCAGGAGCCTCAGAGCACGGGTAGGATCGGCGGCGAGTGAGGGGGGGAAGGCCTTCTCCGAAGGCGGCGGGGCTTCTCCGAAGGCCTCTGGCCTTCTGGGAGGTTCTCTCCTCTGTCTTCGGGGGAGGCTCAGAAGACTTCTGAGACCTCCCTGGGGCCTGGTAGGATACTCGAAGGAAAGATCTCTAATGGCAATCCCTTTCTCCCGAGGGTCCTCGGGACTCGGAACCTTTCGGACAAGCCGCTCAGGACGTGTGAGGAACCCTGGGGCAGGATTCAGTTGAACTCCAAGGAGAGAGGAGCTGTTGCGGGAGAATACATGGTTATTAGGGGGACCGGTGTCATGGCTTGTGCGGCTAGGGTTGCCAAGGTCCCCTGGGCCCTTGTGAGTCCCCAGAGATTCAGTACGGGGCTTGAGTGGAGGAACCTTCCTGGCATCGGCGACCTTACTACCAAAGAGGAGGTGCACACGTACCTCATCGAGACGTGCGCCATCACAGGATGCGTTGTATAGGAGCCCGTGGGGACGGTAGGTGTGCACCTTCCTCAGTTAGGATGTGGGCTTCGGGATGTGGAGAGATGGAGATGTCAGGGTAATCATCCTCATGCCACTGGCAGCGCGACCACAAACCATATGAGAGGTCCCCCATGTTTTTCTTATCGGTTGCTGTGCCGCTCGTTCTATCATCAGTTCCAACAGATGACCCGTGCCTGTCGGCGAAGAGGAAATGATCGCAGTCGTGTCGGGGGAGCGGAGTATCCCGCCATTGGACATGTGCCTACTGTGCAGTTCCCGCTCACACATTCACTCAGCGGCGGCGGGTGGTGGTTATGGTCTTGACCACTGATGACATCAGTACATGTCAGCTGCTGCCTCCTGTCTTTTCTGTTTGTCCGTACTGTCTTCTCTTCAGCCTAGAATAGGCTCCAGACTTCACTGGCCTTTAGCTCGTCGTGGTAGTAGTAGCAGCAGTAGCAGTAGTAGCAGTAGTCGTAGTGGTATAAGTTGTAGCAGTAGCAGTGGTCGTAGTAGTAGTGGTAGTAGTAGTAGTAGTAGTAGTAGTAGTAGTACTAGTACTAGTCGTAGTGGTAGTAGTAGTAGTAGTATTAGTAGTAGTAGTAGTAGTAGCAGTAGTAGTAGTAGTAGTAGTAGCCGTAGTAGTAGTAGTAGTAGTAGTAGTAGTAGTCGTAGTGGTAGTAGTAGTAGTAGTAGTAGTAGTAGTCGTAGTGGTAGTGGTGGTAGTAGTAGTAGTAATAATAGTAATAGTCGTAGTGGTAGTCGTAGTCGTAGTAGTAGTAGTAGTAGTAGTAGTAGTAGTAGTAGTAGTAGTAGTAGTAGTAGTAGTAGTAGTAGTAGTAGTAGTAGTAGTAGTAGTAGTAGTAGTAGTAGTAGTAGTAGTAGTAGTAGTAGTAGTAGTAGTAGTAGTAGTAGTCGTAGTAGTAGTAGTAGTAGTAGTAGTAGTAGTAGTAGTAGTAGTAGTAGTAGTAGTAGTAGTAGTAGTAGTAGTAGTAGTAGTAGTAGTAGTAGTAGTAGTAGTAGTAGTAGTAGTAGTAGTAGTAGTAGTAGTAGTAGTCGTAGTAGTACTACTAGTAGCAGTAGTAGTAGTATTAGTAGTAGTAGTGGCAGTAGTAGCAATAGTAAGTGTAGTAGTAGTCGTCGTCGTAGTAGTACTGGTACTGGTACTGGTAGTAGTAGTAGTAGTAGTAGTAGTAGGAGTAGTCGTAACACTAGTAGTGGTAGTCGTACTAATGGTGATAACAGTCGTACTAGTAGCAGTACTCGTAGTAGTAGCAGCAGTAGTAGTAGTAGTAGTAGTAGGAGTCATAGTCGTAGTCGTAGTCGTAGTCGTAGTCGTAGTCGTAGTAGTAGTAGTAGTAGTAGTAGTAGTAGTACTAGCAGTCGTAGTAGTAGTAGTAGTAATAGTAGCAGTCGTAGTAGTCGTAGTAGTAGTAGTAGTAGTAGTAGTAGTAGTAGTAGTACTTGTAGTAGTAATAGTCGTAATAGTAGTCGTCGTAATCGTAGTAGTAGTAGCAGTAACAGTAGTAGTAGTAGTAGTAGTAGTAGTAGTAGTAGTAGTCGTAGTGTAGTAGTAGTAGTAGCAGTAGTAGCAGTAGTAGTAGAAGTAGAACTAAATATCGTAGATGTCGCCGTCGTAGATGTCGTGAAGTGGAGATGTCGTCGTCGCCGTGGTAGTATCGGTCGTAGTAATAACAGCAGGAGTAGTCGCCGTAGTAGTAGTAGTAGTGCTAGAAAGTAATAGTAATAGTATTAGTAGCAGCAGCAGCAGCAGCAGTAGTAGTAGTAGTAGTAGTAGTAGTAGTAGTAGTACTAGTAGTAGTTCTATTTCTAGTACTAGTGCTAGTACTAGTACTAGTACTAGTGCTAGTACTAGTAGTAGTAGTAGTAGTAGTAGTAGTAGTCGTCGTCGTCGTCGTCGTCGTCGTCGTCGTCGTCGTCGTAGTAGTAGTAGTAGTAGTAGTAGTAGTAGTAGTCGTAGTAGTAGTAGTAGTAGTAGTAGTCGTAGCCGTAGTAGTAGTAGTAGTAGTAGTAGTAGTAGTAGTAGTAGTAGTAGTAGTAGTAGTAGTAGTAGTAGTAGTAGTAGTAGTAGTAGTCGTAGTCGTAGTAGTAGTAGTCGTAGTAGTAGTAGTAGTAGTAGTAGTAGTAG